GATAAGATACTAAAATTTTCTTTCCTTCACCTGTATGTGCAGAGGGGCTTCAGGAACTGAGGGGGGGACGGGCAGCTGGGGGGCATGGGGTAGGCCTCCTTGGTCTTTTAGTGCCAAGGGGCTGGGTGGTACCACCCTGGAACCGGGACGAGGTTTACAGCTTTGTCTCCGGGCCAGCCGCCTGCAGAGTCGGGAAGGAGTCTCGGATCTTTGCCACTTCCATGGCACACAGGTGCCCGAAGACTTTGTTGTACCAGTCAGGAGAACGGCCCCTGGGGGTAGAAGCAGGCAAGCATGAGCCATGGCTTCTTCCCAGGAGCCTTTCCAGAAGGAAGAAAGGACTTCCCCGCAGCCCCCCAGGGATCAACGGCAAGGGACAGAGGTGGGGAGGGTGGCAGAGGAAGGAGGCCGGTACCTGAGGTCCGCGCGGCAGATGTGGGTGAGGCGGGAGCGGCCCAGGCCACAGGGCTCCATGAGGTACTGGGAGGTGAGCAGCAGCGCCCTCACCCCCGACTCGGGCACGGGCTGCTCAGGCTCCAGGGATTGGGAGACAAGCAGGCAGCCTCCGCGGGGCAGGTCAGAGCGCCACATCCTGTGGGGAAGGGACACGCACATTCAGGTTCCCGAGGCCGGTTCTCACCACCTCCCCGGCCCCCTAAGCACAGTACATGACAGCTGGAGCCCCTCACCGGAGGACGACGAAGTCGCGGCAAGGATGGGGAGCCATGCTGTCGGTGACGTAGTGGTACAGCTCAACACCTGGCATCAGGGACTCCAGCACCTGGGCCCGCAGCAGGTCCTCATCCCAGAGGGCCCGCTCCCGCAGAATGCGGTGCAGCACCAGAGCCGGGGGTGCCGCCACCTCCGTGGATGCCTTCCACATACGCAGCGGGTGCTCGTCCGGTGCCTGTAGGCCACGGGAGTGGGGACAGGAGGCAGGGGTCACGACTGGAGTCGTGCCACTCACCCCCAGTCGCCGTGGGGCTGGGAGGGGGCGATGGTGGGGAGGGCGGTACTCACCTTCTTGCAAGCCAGCTCCGTGTGCTGGGGCCCTGGCACGGTTGTCCAGCCCTTGAAGCGCTCAGCAGCGTCGCGCAGCAGCTCCTGCACGCTCTCTTCCATGTAGACGCTCAGGCTCACGCCAGCGGCATGGGCCCGCCGCAGCTCGGACAGGGCCGGGCCAGGAGGGCTGAGCTCGGCCTCACTGTAGGCCCCACACAGCTGCAGCACCACGTCCTGGGGCACCTGGGAGGACGGTCCCAGAGACCACAGGGTCAGTCGCATTCACGCTAAAGGGCTGGAGAGTCGTGGCTACTGCGGTGAGGTAAATGAGAACCTTGCAGTGAACAGCTGGATGTGGGAAGTTGACAGGTGTTGTCAAGTTGTGTTGTACCCCTGACTTGGGGTACAAAGGTCGGCCCTGACAGGGCCCCCGGGTTTGGAAAGTGGGCACCATGGCCTAGAGTTACTCACCTGGAAAAGTTTCTTGCAGTCACTGATCATATGGGACAGTCCGTGGGTGGCAGCCATGTTCTCACTCAGGTCCCTGGGGCCTGGCCGGCCACCCAGGCTGCGTTTGCCCTTGATCCTGGAAGGAAGGACCGAGAGGAGAGGATGGCACAAGGGCACAAGAGAAGATGGCTGACAGGCTGGTTTCCCAGCTTTCTAGAAGCCACTTGCCGTCCTGAACATAAAACGACCCGCTGTCCTTGAGAATAATGCCCTGCTTCACAGCATGCAACCAGTCACAGGCCCCTGAGGAGTCAGGCTGACCCCTTGTGGTAATTCCTGGGAACTGCAGTGCCAGCCCTGAAGGGCCAAAAGAGGGGTCTGGGAGTGGGAAGCAGGGCAAACCTTCCCTGCCCCGCCCAGCCACACGCTACCCTGTTTCACCTGGGTGAGGAGCTATCCTTCTTGGAGATGTTGAGGTGGAAGATGGAGGGTGCCAAGCACACTGCCAGGTTGCCGGCTGTCATCTGGTTTTCCTCGGCAGAGGCGATGTCACTTAGGAAATACAGCAGGGTCTGCAGCACCTCTCGGTTCTCATCAGGGAGCAGCAAGGTGGCGGACTGCGCTGCCGGCAGCCACTGATCTTTGGGAAGGACTGTGGACGAGGAACGGCAGAAGGGCTTCCTTACTCCCTTAGAATCTCCCGCTTCCAGGAACGCAGAAGAAACAGGGCATTCAAGGGAAGCCAGGGGGAGACAAGGGCTAAGGTGGGCTCTGGGAGGTCCCTGGGTGCTAGGTCCAGCTCTGCTCAAATGCACAGTGTAAGCTTAGGTAAGTCCCTGCCTTTCCTCGGGGTCTCAGTAAGTCCTTCCTTACGGTGGGCTCAGGGAAATGGACCATGGTTTTTCTCTGCTGGGCTTTCCCAACTCCAGAGAGTCAGTCTTCCCCCGAGTGTGCTTGGGTGTGGCTCCATTTGTCCGCACCAAGTTTATCTTCCACGAGCCCTAGGATTCGAGCGGTTGGTTGATAATGGGCAGGGACAGGTATGGGCGACTCACGCTGGTAGATCTGCAGGAAAGTCGTGCTGAGCTTGCTGGTGAAGATGGGCTCAGGCAGGTCTCGGAAATACTGCTTGACCAGGTCAGCCACATCGTAGGCTGACTGGCCCTCATAGCAGACACTGTCTGGGGAGCTCTCGTTCAATTCGCGCAGGTTCTGGATCCTAGACTTCACCCCAGACTTGCGGAAGATGCCCACCTGGCCCATGCAGGTTAGGAAAGGAGGGAGACATGGAAGGAGAAGACCGTGAGGCCAAGCCTGGGAGGCGAGTCACAAGTATAGGCCACCCCAGAGACTTCCAAGCTTGGCAGGCTTCCTGCCGAGCAGGGATCGAGAAAAATGGCGAAACCAGAGGAAAGCGTTTGTTATAGCTTTGGGTCAAGGAGAAAGATGGTTTTAGTGTGAACGAGTAGGAAAAGGGGGACTCAGGCTAAAGCAGGCTCTTGGAAGTTGGAGACTACAGTGTCTGGACCAGAAAAGCAGCTGGCCCAGAACTCAGCGGAAGGTGGCTTTGCTTCCATCCTCGCTGGACCTTCCTGAGGCCAGGAGAAAGGTCCCTGCGGGACAAGCCCAACCAGGGGGAAGGAAGCAAAACGGGAGCGGCTCCCGTGCCCAATTTCTCAGCCTTGCACTTCCTCCCAGCGCCATCTTTCTACACGCTCCCCACGAGCGCTCACCTGGTCCAGGCAATGTCTGCGCAGGTAACGCATGGCTTGCTGAATGCTCTGTGGCAACGGCTGGCCTGTGCGCTGCACGTGGATCAGGGGTGGCACCCCAAACACGTGCTGGCCCCGGTAGTCTGGGGTCTTGTTCCTTTTCATGAACTTGGGCATCGACCTGTTTGGAGGAGTGACGAAAGATCAGGAAGGGGTGTGGGGTGGGCCAGGAGCTTGGAGACTCTGTCTACAGTCTCAGGGGGCTCGCGCAGAGGTGAGCAGGGTAAGAAACACAACCCATGCCCAGACTCAACATTCACGAAGTACCCGCGCTGGGCCAGCCCTAGGGAGTCACAGAGGGACACAGGGAGCTCTGAGTCTGGTTGAGGAGATAGTTGTGTCCACAGGCAGTGACAATATATGTGGCCGGGAGTGGATCAAGAACTTAGGGGAAGACCCCATGAAGGAGGGGGTCTGCACCTAGTGGCTCAGGGAGGGCCCCGGAGCGGAGGCAGAAGCTCAGCGGGCTCTTGAGGGCTAAGCAGACACTGCCGCGGAGAAACGGGGAAAAGGAACTCTCGGCTCAGGGAACAGCGCGGAGAAAGGCAAACAGTGGCGTTGCTTGGGAGTAGCGGGCTACAGAGCACGAACAGATGGGGCAGGGCCAGCACATGAAAGGACCATGGCGGTAAGGAAACCCCACCTCGTACTCGTGGCAATGGGGAGCCACAAAAGGGTGTTTATCAGGAGAGTGACGACCAAAGCTGCGTTTCAGGACAAGCTTGCTGGTGGCACTATGGAGGTTGGGGTGCAGGAGGTACAGCTTGAGGACCTTGGGTCCCCCGCGCTCACCCCTCGTCACAGGCGGCACACGAAGTGCCGTGCATGCCATGTGTGCCCGCCCCCAGAGAGCCACACGGACCCCTTGCCTTGGGCCACGGCCCCTCCAGCCTCCTGGTACATCCCATGGGCTCTGACTGTCTGCACCCACTTTCTGTGGCTGAGCCTCCCACGGCCCTGCAGCAGAGGCCCGGAGCGGGCCAACGCCTGGGCGAGCCGCTCTCTGCCCACCGCAGCCCAGGAGCACTCACCAGCCCCAGCCGTGCTTTTGGGGTACGGTGTACTTCTCCATGAAGGCCGTGAGCCGCAGCAGGGAGCCCTTGTGCAGCAGGTGGATCTGGCTGGCGAACTGCCGGTTGATCTCCAGTGACTCCGAGTTGAGGCTGGGCCGGTGGGAATTCTGGAAACTGTGCCAGCGGAGCTTCCTGCGGAGGGAGGAGTGGTAGAGAACAGCGACCTCAGAAAGGGCTTCTTGCCGGCCCCTTTTCGTTCCCCCAAAAAAGCAAGAAAATGCGGGGAACTAGGACCGCTGCCGGGGAGGTGGCACGGGGTTCATGCCCACCTAGCACCAGAAGCGGCACTAGTCCCCTCCATCTGGGACTGCAGCTCGGGGTCTGCGCTGGCAACAGCAGCCTGGCAAAGCTGGGGATCAGAGGCCATCTCTTCTAACACCCTGGATTTGCACAGGAAAACTGAAGCCCAAAGAGGAGCTAGGATCTGCTCAAGGCCACAGCAGAGGCAGGTCTGGAACGTAACATAACATTCTGGATTGTCTAGTCCTGTGCTCTTGCTATTTCCCTGCTGTGACTGGCTGCCTAAAGGCATCACCCAGCCCCCAAGAACCTGCCCCTGGGCCTCATAACTAAGAAATTGGGTTGGGAGGGTGAGGATGAAAGGAGGGGAGAGAGGGGAAGGGAGGGAGGGAGAAAGGAAAGACAGAGATAGCACAGCCCCTTGCCGCCACCGCTACCCTGAATTCCCACCTGCAGGGTCTGGTAAGTGAGGCCCCAACGCCCGAATCTCGTCGTTCACGAGGCGCTGACACCTGGAGTCCAGCCGGACACCCCGAGGCCTCAGCCTCATTCACAGAGTTCCCGCTACTATCCAGTTCACTGGAGGAGGCCACAGTGTCGGAGATGGAGTGTCCTTCTTCCACAGATAGGCTGGAGGCAGAAGTGGGTTCCCCACCTGAATTTGCCTCCTGCTCATTATCCGGGGCTGGGCCCAGGGTCTCAGCCTCAAGCTGAGCTGGGACGACTGGCTGGACGTCAGCCCGGTCCAGGGCCGAGGCTTCTCTGTGGGCTGGAACGTCTTCCCGGGCCAGAGCCTCAGCCTGAGCTTCGACCTCGACCGTGGCGATGTCCACCGATGAAGTGGCCTCCTCCTCTTCTTCGTCATCGTCTTCGTCCCCCTTGTCTCCAGGCCTCAGATCTGGGTACACGGCCTGAGACCAAAGCTCTACCCGTTGCTGCAGGCCCCACACGTGCTGGAGGATGTCGTCTAGGTGGGCATAGCTGCCCCCACGCTCCTCCCCTTCAGCCTCGGCCCCAGCCAGTCCGAGCTCGGTGGGGCACGGCTCAGGCATGTTGTCATAGGTGCTGGCATGGCTGCCCGTGGAGCCACAGGAGCCCCGGCGACCATCGCAGCCCCGGCGCCTTCCTGGCTGCCAGTCGGCCAGACGGTGTCCGTGCTCAGGACACAGGCTCTCAATGGACAGGGAACGAGGGAATGTGCCTGGTTTGTGGTCCCCGGGCACGTGCACCAGGCAGTTAGCCCTGTGTGCCCGCTGAGGATGCCGGAACGTGGCCACAGGCCAGGCCTCCCAGACCCTCCGAGTCTCAGCGCCACCACCACTGGCAGAGCTGTGTGCCCGGTTCTTGGCCCTGTAGAATCCGGCTGAGAGGAAGCCGCGGCGGCTGCGGAAAGAGGAGGCTTTGGTGGCCTTCTCCGAGGTGGCTGGCCTATGCTCGGCCTCGGCTTGCCGGCTGCCACCCTTTTCCTTCCGCCTCAGAGACTCGAAATGCTTGAGGAAGCTACGGGAACGACGCTTCTTGGCTTTGTCCTGGGGATCCTCTGGGCTCTGAGTGGGGCTAAGGAGGGACCGGTCACTCGGGCTGGGGACACGGCCTAGCAAGGGCAAGTCTGCTGGCTCTGGTGGGAGGCTCACGGTGATGGCCGGCAGGGAGGTGGCACTAAGTTCTGTGAGGACGCTCTCACAGCTGGAGGTCACTGGCAGCCCAGGGCTCGGTGGGGCCAGCAGGTCAGAGGAACCCACGCGAGACCAGCGCTGACTTTCTCGCTGCACAGCCCAGGGGGTGCTGATGGCACAGCGCTCCTCCTCTTCAGAGTCGTCATTCTGGGAAGGGCGCCACAGGGCTGGGTCAGAGAAGTCCCCCGCAAGCCCTTGCTTGCGTTCCACTCTCTATCTCCAAACTCTTGGGGGACTTTGAGGCAAAGGGCTGGGCTTTCTGGTTGAGGACATGTCCTGCGGGGGTGGGGGCTGGCTCTATAATTGCCGGAGAAAGGAATCCAGGAGTTATAGATGGAGCCCAGATGGATGGTAAAGGCCATCTGATTAATCTAATCCCTCCCCATTTGCAGAGAGGGAAATCCAGACCCACAAATGAGAAGCCACTTGCCCAAGGTCATATACTGTTATGCAGGAAGCCAGTGAAAGAGCCAGGCTACAATTCAGGCATCTTGACCTCCTGTCCCCAGCAGCCTTTCAAGTCTAGGCTAGACTCAGATTAATATCACGGCATGCCAGAACTGGGAGGGGATTTTAGATTTTCTCATTTTTTAATTTGTGGGGTAGGAAAACTGAGGCCCAGAGAGGGCAAGAGGCTTGCCCAAGGTCACTTAGCAGTGAGTGGCAGAGCTGGGACCGGGTCCCGGAGGTCTTCTGCAACTCGGGCCAGAGGAAACTCACAGAGCCCGATACCAGGGAAACAATGGGATCACCGGGCCCAAGTTCCAAGGCTCTGCGCAGACCAAGAGGCCTCGTGGTTTCCACAGTCCTGGCTTGGAAGAGTCCAAGAGGCCTTTGGAGGCTTTTAACGACCCCCATTCATTATAGAGATGGGGAAAATGAGGCTCAGAAGGCACGGACTTCGTGTAGGTGGGGTTAAGGGTCTTGAATTCTAAAACCATACGGGCCGCAACTTTTCTATGACGTTATTCTGTCCCTAGCCCCTAGTCAAGGCATTTTTGCCATCGCCACGCAGGGAGTGGAGGCAGATGGATTGCTGTGAGGAAGGGCCATCTGTACGTCAAGTTATTAGTAAACCCAGGAGGGAGAGGTGGGCTGAAGCGGGTGGGTGAGGCCATGGGCCATGGAACTTATGACGTTCCAGCCTCTAGACCAAGCTCGTCAAAACCCAGAGACCCCTAAGAGCCCCCTACGCCCAACTCCCAGGCTAGAACAGGGCACTTCTGTGGACACCACGGACTCCAAAAGCCAGTTTCCCAAGGGCTTTGTGTGTGTCCTGGGCCCCCCACGGTGCCACAAGGCCACTGACCCCACTCTTGCCATGACTCACCTGCTTACTTTGAAAATGAACCTCCAGTTTCATCGAGGCACACTTGTTTAAGGTCATCAGCCTCCTGCAAGGAAAGCGCGCAGTGTTCGCCCAAGGGCCCCAACCCCCGAAGCCTGCAGGGCGTAGCCCACCACCACACTCCCAAGATGTCATCTACTGCTTCATATGCCCAGCCATCGAAACCTCTCCCAAAGCCCCAGTGTTCACGGAGGTTTCAGCGCCCGACGCGATGCTGGGTAGATTTTAGATGTGGAAGCAAACCACTCCAGAGATGGGACAGGTTCAAGGACAGAGTAGCGGAAGGCACGGCAGGTACACAGACGGTGGGACAAGGAACTTCCGTGAACAGAGCGGGTGTAGTGACAGAAGACACTATGGGCGAAGACAGCAATGGCATTCTGAGTGAAAGAGACCCTCGGGACTCCTATGCCAGGAGCCTGGGACGAGGTGGAC